GGGTGATCCCCTCGTCGGACCAAGTTTGTAGGGGACAAGTAAGGCTGGTTTTACATGCTTTTCAAGAGTGGTGTCGAGAACTTATTCCTATGGGTGGCGCATGGATGGCCAGTGGTGAGAAGCGGGCCATGGAACGGGCCATTGCCGGTGGTTCACCGAACAATGGTGACCCTCGGCGACATCCTCGATCAGGATGGATGGATCATGGTACATGGTCTCGTGCTAGTCCAACGGTTTGGTCCTCATCTGTTACATTCTCTTTGTACATGCTTAAGTACATCCAATTTTTGAGTCAGGTTGGATGGTAAGACAAGCATGTCTAACTTAATCTACATGTCGTCCCAGTACGACCAACTACTCCAGGGGATGCCCTATATAAGCAGCTATGGCGCTTTTGGGAGATGAAATGGATATGATGCAAGAGAAGTGCATCACATCTGCGAAATGTCAAAGGAGAAAAATCTCAAAGTATGAATGCCTGATGATTAGCAGCCATCATGCATGATTTTGGGGTGCATTAGTTTCACTAGAAGACTTCATCAAATGGTATATGTCCACATGAGCCATGGGTAACGGAAGATGTCCTATATAACTAAATAGTTGATCTCATTAATCTATTTCTTTCAACATACAAACATGCCACTGCAGTATGTAATCAAGCTTGGAAAAAGGCATACCTGTTTCTGTTTTATTATGCTATTTATAATTAGTAAATATTTTATAACTAAATAGGTGGTCCACATTAATCTATTTCTCAAACAATTGGAAAAGGGTGCCAGAATATATTCCCATTAGTTTCTAAATATTCCCATTCCACGCAACCAATATCATGGGAATATATTGTGACCGACACCTGTTGCAATGCGGCACAAAGTTTCATCTACTTTATCATTGTCACATTGCAAAATTTCTCCTCTTCTTGATGATCGTGGGGGTCAGTAGTACTCCCTTCGTTCCTTTAAGTAAGGTGTATTATTTTCGGCATGGTGACCAAGGCACATGATATAGACAAGTTAGGACGAAATTACCCTTGATGAATTTGTTTGTTAGTGGCAAGTAAATCCGCTAGTACAAGAAAGTTAGAGTGGTCCATCTGATGTGTGGTTTTAGTGCCTGTGGTTGGGTATTGGTGGACGTGAGTGGTTGGCTTCCCTGTTGCTGTGAGTTCTTCAAATCCATAGCTATGGTAACCGTGTGCTCTGTTGTTCAGATATCCCAGTTGTATGGATAGACAGCCGTCACGGTTCACACACACAATTTCACATGGGTCTATGTGAGTCACGCTAGCGGCTTGGCTGTCTTACCACATGCTTGTGTATTCCTCTGATGTCATGTACGGATTTGTATTTTGTTACAGATGGTTATCCTCTATGTCTGGTTGTGGTGTGGTCCGCGTTACTATCATGGAACACGTGAAATTGATGGTCCAGAGCAAATTCTCAAACGCCGCAGCCGGCATGGGAAAATTCTCAAAATACGTGAAAATAGATACCTTTCCCCCAGGTTGAAATGTTCTACCTTGGAGTTGCGAGGAAGGTTCTATCCTTACCTATAAGATGTTTGTGAAGATACAATATTAATCGTAGGATGCGACGGCAAATCAAATATTAACCCAATCCAATGAACTACCTAATAGTCTTGTACGGTAGTACTCCTACCTGCTAATGCGTACGAGGCAAGAGAGGTGGATTGCATCATATGGGAAATGTCAAAACGAGCTCCTGAACTCCCAAACTTTGAATATCATTTTGTTAACTTTGGAGCTATGGTGTATGTATACGTGTTCATCTGTACACACTTGTATTTAGTCTGTAGGCCTATAATTAGTGATGGTATCTGTCGGGGACACCTAATAATTTGTTCTAAGCAAGTACAGTATTACCCATTGGGAGTATTTTACTTACACTTGATGTCTTTTACACTAGTTGAAACCTTGGGGTGCAGGGAATGTGACCACCGTGGTTAACTGCCGGGCCGTAACAATTGGCTCCTACATAATCAAAGGAAACAAGGGTAGCAAATTGGCAATATTCAATTATGCAATCAGTACATACTAGCTAATCTAATCGCTAAGACGTTCTTCAATAGGTTCCAAGAGCCAACCATCAAACTTGTAACACCAGGTGACAGCCGGAAACAGGCATATATATGGTGCATGCATGAACCTGGAGGCTTAACCACCGTAAGGTGGAGTCATGCCACTTTAAAGTCATTTTCAAATTTTGCGCAGCCGGATTTACCAATTCAATGTCTTATGTCAGAAATAGCTTGCAAGCATGCCTGATGCATATTTATGCCTACTAGAACAATACAATTGATGTCTGCTTTTGAATAAATCAAGTAGCTTATACAATACTAGAATTTAATTAGTATGTTGACTTTTTTTCAAATGATTGACAGGTGTATACATGCACTAAGGCGCATCCACATGTTAAGCTAAGTGTATGTTGCAGAGGTGGCGATCGGGGGGCGATTATTTGTGCTGGACGGGTCGATGGCAATGGAGAAGATGTGTGTGCGTGTGTGATGGAAACTTTTCGTCACTGGGCAAAGTTGCATAAACAGTGGGGTCTTGCCTTCTTTCACCATCGAGCATGCTATATATGAGTCACCTTCTTCAATTTTTCCATGGATGCCACACCACCACAAGATATTGAAATCGAGGCCTCGGCCGACTGAACAGTAGACCTGCATGTGCAGCATGCGAAGCCCTCATCGGACAGTATAGGTTTGCATGTGCAGCATTGCATGCGATGCGATGCATGAATGCTGGTCAAGAACTGAAGCTGCTGCCGTGCAAGCGTGCAAGTGGGTGCCGAGGAAGCCGTGCATGCTCACGCGACTAATTCCAAGCTTGGATCCAGGCAGGTCAAGCTGGTGCCGTGCAGCGTGCAAGTGGCCAAATGAGATCGATAGAGCCCTCTGCTGGATTGGATGACTCCCACGTCCATCGGAAGACTTCATACACAACAAGCCATAATACTTTGCTTACAAGTAGTATTAGACCCGAAATACAGGGGTCCAGATTAAATAGTTAGTCGTGGAACAAAGTGATCAGCCACGTGTTGTTTTGTCACTAGCATAACACCCTTGTGTTGCCATGAAAAATAAATAGATATAGGAACATTCTTTATAGAGGCGGCGTCCGAGCTGGTCCCGCCAACCGATGACCAATGGCAGAAAGGAGACATGGCCTGGGCGCTGCCGGTGGTTCATGGGACTATTAGGGATGTAAACCGAGTCCAGTTTAATCCCGTTTAAGCCCATTCATCGATCTAACAGTTCAATAAAGTTTTTTTTTCTGGAAAAAATGAACTATCAAATCTCACTAAAACTGACTAAATGAGACTTGTGGGCGTCGTTCATTGGCCATCTACATCCCTATGGACTATGCTACAACTCTTGGCGCTGTTATGATCAAGAGGGATGAAGTAATGGCTCCGTATGTGGTGCTCATTTGTGTGTTGTGAGGAAGTGCATGATCATCCGCTGGACTATTGACACAATTGCTTGGAGATGGTACCTCCGTTTTTATTCGACCAATAGGAACTGCATCTAGCAAATGATTCAAACATTTTTTCGAGAAAAAAAATAAGTTCTGCCCATGGTACCTTGCCACGTCACATCCACCTTGTTTACTGATTTGGGACCTTGAAAATCGAGCACTAGTATTCAGCGCATAAATTTGCCGATTTGCAGCTCTATTTTTTCTTAAAAAAAACGAATATAGTTGCATTACATAGGTAGGCACACATTCATCGGTGCAGTTTACGTTTCTTCTGTAGTTGATGAATATGGATTACTATTCTTTGCAATTGAACATTGATTCTCAAGAATTTTCTTTTTTCTTTTCACTATTTCTTCCTTGTAGATCTTACTGGGGGTCAGTCGGGGAGAGGCCAAAGATGGCGGTCATATTGATTGATTCATGGGTGTGAATAATATCCAAGGTCGAACAAGCCTTAAAGAAGTGAAGCTAATCGAGATAGTGGTTACTTACCTATTCATGAAGAGCCATGGTTGAGCACAGTCGTCAAAAGTTTTTTGGGATGAACAATGATAGCTAAAACTTTTGGCTTGCTTTTCGAGAAATTAGAGTTCAAAGGTCATTAATGAACATAGCAAAGTTTCTCTGTTTCATGTCGATTTGTCATTATTTCCTGATAAGACTTTGTCAAGACTATTCGTGGTTTCTCTCGTGGAAATTGACGGAACGCCTTTTAATTTGTTCGAGAAGAAAATAATATTGTGTCCAAAGTTACCTTGCACAAATATCAGTTGAGTGTCAATGCCTGGTTTTTCATTTCATCCGACCCATTCTATGGCATAAAACGGACAGAGATTACAGTGATCCCAGGCACGGATGCACAACTTTGGTTAGATATTGGGTACAAACTGTGTAAAGGCTAGCTTTCCATCTGATGCGCTGTTGTTTCTTCCTTGTAGATGATACCGGGCTGGTTTTGTTTGTTCCTTCAAATCTAACGAGGTATCCGCCAAAGCCCAAACAAACCCAACTTTGTTTAAGCAGGTCTTCTCCAGCGCGTACCATCGATTACAGTACGGCGTTGTAGATGTAAACACGCAGGTTTGACGTACGACTTCGCTTAGATTCGTCCTGGCCCAGGTCAGTGTTTCTTAATCCCACTGGCACGTTGCAGTTAAGTAATCACATGTATTATTTAGATGATTAATCATGGATCCACCAGTACATCTTGATTACCACGCGGCTTAATTACACGCTGCGAGACTGAGCATGGATGCCACATGTGGCATGTGCTAGTGGGATGATATTATATGGAGGCTGACACGTAGATATGAATCGACGCGCACAGAGCCGGACTGATGGATCTCCAGTGTATATTACCACCATCGTGTACACAGACAGCAAGAACACAAACGAGCTCTTCCTCTCTGCCTAACTTGTTCATTGATCCTATCTGAGCTCTTCGTCGATTCCACCTGTTTTCACTACTCTTCGTCGATCCCACTAGAAATTAATGGCGCGGTCGTCTTCTCCTCACGTCAACAAGGCTTCGCCCACCGAGCAGCGCCGCCTGCTCCGCGCTCGCCGTTCTTCAAAGCGCGTCACCGCTTTGAGCCCGGAGGCGCTCCTTGATGCCTCACTCTCTGGCGCCGAGCACCCTGTGCCGGTGTTGCAGCACGATGACGCCGGTGTCATCGCTGCCGCCATGGCTCCAAAGCAAGATGCTACTCTCTCAGATGAGACCTTGGTGGTCCATGCAGGGGAGAAGATGGGGAAGAACGGCCTCAAGGACACTGACTCGATCGCAACGCCGATTGTGAGCGGCACGACGCACTGGTTCAAGAGCTCGCACGACCTCATCGCGTTCAAGGAAGGCCGGGGCCACAGCTTTGAGTACGGCCGCTACGGCAACCCCACTGTGAAGGTCCTGGAGGACAAGATCAGCACGCTGGAGAGGGCCGAGTCGACGCTTGTCATGTCCTCGGGCATGAACGCCATCGTCGCTACGCTGCTCGCGCTCGTGCCACCCGGCGCCGGCCACGTGGTGACCACGACCGAGTGCTACAGCGAGGCGCGCGCCTTCATCCGCGACAAGCTCTCCAAGATGGGCATCAAGGTGACATTCGTCGAGCTGAATGACATGGAGACACTCAAGGCTGTTCTTGACCAGGGCGACGTAAGTTAATTTCCATAACACCATATATAATCGAGGGATCCATATGCATGTATGTTAATTTTTTCTGACTCTCGGGATGCTTGGCCATGATGCAGGTGACACTCTTCTACACTGACTGTCCGACGAACCCCCACCTCAAGTGCATCGACATTAAGCTCGTCGCGGAGCTGTGTCACCGCAAAGGGGCTCTGGTGTGCATCGATAGCACCCTCGCCTCGCCCATCAATCAGAAGCCACTCACCGTCGGGGCCGATATCGTCGTGCACTCTGCCACAAAGTACATTGCCGGCCATCACGACGTGAGTAGCTACCCTAGAACACATGTATTTTCGTAGATCGTAGAATTACACTGCCATTTTGCTCCTTTCTTCCATGATCACTAGTAGTGTCTATATAGTTTAAGACTTCTCATCATGTTATTCCATTTCAGGTCATTGCAGGATGCATCAGCGGCTCGGATGCGCTCATCTCTAGGATACGTGCGAGGCATCACAACCTCAGCGGCGCCATTAGTCCGGTATGTAGTATATATTAAGGGAGATTTTACCGTGCATCATAATAACCAAAGGATATTTAACGTGTATTATATGGGCAATCTAACGGATTAGAATAATTGGGCCTTTTAGAGCCCAAGGATATTTTCGATCTTAAATTTTTTATACCTTTAATCGGCACAATTAAATCCAGGGGTATTCTCGTCCGAAATTTTTCAATTAAATTAATTGCATTAATAAAACACTTCATTATAGAGGCCCAATCATCGTGTGTACTCTTTTGAAATTTGGTTCGAGCGGTTCGTCCTCTCTCCTCCTCTCGAGCCCTAACCTCGGCACCCTCGATCACCGCCGATCGCCTCAGCCGCCCTCGATCGCCGCTGATCGCACTCACCGTGTCACTCCTTCCTCCTGCTCCTACTCCCCCCCTTCCCCCTCCATCGGAAGTCACCCCACTCGGGTCGCGGCACCAGATCTTCCGACGAGCCTCCCCTCCTTCCCCGAGCGGACGCCGCCTTCCCCGACCTGAGAGGCCACATCATCCTCATCGACGTGCATCAATTTTTTTCACGCCGGATCTTTGCTGTAAGTGCCTAGCCATCTCAAATCTTTGCTGGTCCCTTATGCTTATAGTACCAATAGGGGTCGGATTTGATTAGGGTTTAGGATATGTCATGTGAGGTTTAGGGTTTATGGTTTCAGAAAGTTGTGACGAGATTTCTATTGAAAGGGAGTGTAAGTTGGATTTAGCTAGGACACGTTGATGTAGTTAGTTAGGGTTTATGGTTTCAGAAAGTTGTGAAAATAGTTTTTTCAAAGGAAGTGTAAGTCGGATTTAGCTAGGACATATTAAAGCACTTAGTTAGGGTTGTGTGCCATGAGAATTTGTCAGCAGATTTGGATTCAAAGAAATTATTTTGGATTTAGTTAAGAGATGCTTTTGAATTGAGTTTCCAGATATTTTGGATTTAGTTAGGAGATAATTATTTTTGTATGGAGTTTGGAGATATTTGCGACTTAGTGACGAGATAATTTGGATTTAGTTAGGTGATAATTTTGGATTCAGTTAGGACACAATGTTGAATGGAGTTTGCAAATAATTGATCTATCAGGGTGGATCTATCAGGGGACTTGAAATATTCGTGCACTTTGGATTTAGTTTGGAGATCATCAGTTACAACAAGTACAATCAATTAAATATTTCTGGATTTAGTCAGGGAATATTTTATACTTACTTACAGCTTTTGAAGGACTGAGTTTGGTACATGAATCCGATATGAAAAATTAAATTGATTATTTAAGTAGAGTATTGCATAATTATTATGTATGCTATCCATCCGTAACATTGACTATCTATTTTCGTTGGCAGCATAACGACATGGATGATAAAGGCAACGATGGCAAAAACTTGGGGAATACAGGCAAGGATGACAAGGACATGGGTGATAGACGAAACGAAGGAAAAGGAATGGATGGTATGCGCACGGATGATAATGATAATGAGGATGCAGGAAAAGATGGCATAGACCTGGATGATGTACACATGCAAGGTAAAGGAATTGATATTAAAGGCATGGCTGGTTCAGATCTGAATGAGTGTATGGAATACATAGAGATTGTGAAGAAGACTTTCAGGACTGAGGAAGAAGCCTATATGTTCTACGTAGGCTATGCGAGAAAAAAAGGGTTTGGTGTTATAAAGGATGATCTGAAGTACAGGGGTCCGGGTCCGAAACAAAATGCATACAGAAGGACATACAAGTGCTGCAAACAAGGCTGGCGGGCCCTTAAGCACTTTATCAGAGCTGGTAGAAAAAGAACACCAAGGGGTCTTTCTCGGTGTGGGTGTCCCGCTCTTTTTCAGGTTGAGCTACAAGATAGTAGTGGCCTCTGGTTCGTCAAGAATTTTGTGGACAAGCATAACCATCTGTTTGTCCCTGCTGACCTGACTCCCTACTTATCGGCTCATCGTAGAATGACTGACGCACAAAAGGCGGATGTCATCGAGTATGCTGTTGGTGGACTTCGAACACATCAGATTATAAATGTAATAGAAGAATGCCGGAGGTCCCGACAAGCTTGGATTTATAGATCGAGACCTATACAACCATGTTTCAATCCAGAAGAAGCGGAAGATAGAAGGCAGTGATGCTAGATATTTGCTTACGTATATGATTGCACAGAAAAAAGCAAACCCGAAATTCTTTTTCAAATACACAAAAGAAAAAGAAGGCCATTTGAGGAACATATTTTGGGCTGGTTCACAATCCCGGATTGACTATGTTGCCTTTGGTGGTGTCGTGGTGTTCGACAGTACATACCGGTCTAACAAGTACATGCTTCCGTTTGTTCCATTTGTTGGTCTGAACCATCACCGCAGCACAGTTTTGTTTGGGGTCGGTCTACTGTCAGACGAGACAGTTGCATCATACCAGTGGCTTCTTCATGTATTTTTGGAGGCAATGTCCCAGAGGGCACCCATTTCAGCAATCACCGATTGGGACAGTTCAATGGCTAAAGCAATAGCTACTGTCTGGACTTGAACAGATCATCGTTTGTGCACGTGGCATATCGAGGAGAATATGGTGATGCACCTCCGCAAGAAAAAGCTTGAGGAATTTAGGGAATTCATTTACCGTCGTTGGGATGTTGATGAGTTTGAGAAAAGATGGGAGGCTTATAAGGTTCGGTTCAATATAAAACCAACGGGAAAGAGATCATCATGGGTTAACAGGATGTACGAGCTGTGACACAAATGGCCTGCTGCGTACACAAAGGGTAGATATTTCCTAGGCATGATGAGTAATCAGAGGAGTGAGTCTCTCAACTCAAGGCTTCATGTGCACCTGAACAGGAAGATGCAGCTTGTTGATTTGTTGCAGCATGTTGAGCACTGTGTATCCATAATGCGTAAGAATGAAGCAGCATTAGACGCAGTAGCAACACATACGATACCCTTCACTAAGCTGAATGCACACCCTCTGGAGATTGTTCCCTCTTATATTTATACAACTGTGATGTTTCCAAAGGTAAAGCGTCAGATTGTCGAAGGGACAAATTGGCAGGTCACGGACCGGGTAGCATGTGACGGTTTGGTCGTGTTTGGAGTTTTGCGCAAAGGCCCATATGATAAAGTCCCATATGGCAGGGATGCTACAGAATTGCAAGGTAAGGAAGGTAAGGATGCCGAGGACTTGCATGCAAAGAAATTGGATACTAAGGATCCCAATGACTTGCAAGGTAAGGATGATAAGGACTTGCATGCAAAAAACTTGGATGCTGAGGATCCCAATGACTTGGAAGGTAAGGATGCTGAGGACTTGCATGCAAAAAACTTGGGTGCTGAGGATCCCAATGACTTGGAAAGCAAGGATGGTGTGGACTTGCATGCAAAAAACCTGGATGCTAAGGATCCCAATGACTTGGAAGGTAAGGACAGTGAGGAGTTGGATGCAAAAAAGTTGGATGCACAAGACGTGGATGCTAAGTCTGTGGATTTTATATATCACGTGAATTGTCTGTTTACAGGAGCAAGACTGGGTGATGCAGCTTGTAAATGTAAAAAGTTGGAAAGTCAGGATTACCGATGCGCACATATATTCTGCGTTCTGGATCATCTTGGTGTACGCACATTTCCAAAAAAAATTGTCAAGAAAAGATGGACAATGCATGCCAAGCCAGCGTTCCCTTCTTCGAGGACTGCGAAAATACTCATGTATGGTCTGATCACATGAATAAGTATCATCAACTATGCAACATGCCTAGTGACGCTTTATTCACAGCCGCAGCTAGCGATTCACAGTCAGAACAGGTGATGGAGCTCCTCCGGAGTATATTGGTTGATGGAGAAAAAACTGATTTCTATGAAGGCCATAAATCGTTTGTTACTTTGCCAGCATACTTCACTGCTGCTCGCAAATGCTGCTGTTATGACCGGTCAGGTCTATGCCAGAAAGAGGCCCACCGGGATTAGTATTAGGGGCTTGTCCCGCAAGTTATCTTAGGCAAGTTATCTTAGGCAAGTTATCTTAGGCTAAAGTTATAAATACTAGTTGTAAGACACCGTTTGAGATCAAGCAATAAAGATATTATAATCTTCTGTTGCCCGGCTCCCCAAGGAGCCGGAACCCTAGCCGCGACGGCGCCCGACCGCCGGCGCGCCCGCTCCAGCCTCCGTCCCCCTCCCCCTTGCCCATACAACCTACGTCGGAGGCCTGGTAGGAACCCTAGTCCTACCAATTTGGTATCCAGAGACACCAGGCCGATCATGTCGCTTCCTCCATCACCGACGCCGCTGCCATCCACCTCCGCCCCACCACTGCTGCCGCCGGCCACCTCGTTGCCGATGAAGGCGATCACGTCCGGGACCGTCACCACCACCGCGCCAGCGCCGGTCACCACCACGGCGGATCCGCCCCCGCTCCTCACGCCCGAGGAGATGTCGGGCACCCTGCGGGAGCTCGTCCACGCCGTCCGATGCATCAGCGTCTACCTCGTCGGGCACCATCCCCCGCCACCGAACGCCGCCACCACCGCCTATGGGCTGCCGCTGCTACAGTGGCCCGCCCCGGCCTTCCAGGCGCCCTACGGAGGGGCGCCCCCGCCGCCGCTCCTGCCGCCGCATTACCCGGCCGCGGGAACGCCTTGGCCAGCATGGCCGACCACTGCCGCATCGCTGGGGGGCCCGCCTCAGTAGTCCCTCCCGGCGCCATCGCCGGCCCCCATGACGCAGGCGTCGGTGCAGCCGCACCACCAGGCGCCGCCACCATCGACAGCACCACCACCCGCGTCCCGGCCTACTGGTCGGCCCCTGCACCAGGTGCAGTTTCCGCCCTCGCCATCGCCGATTCCCGCATCGGCGGCCGGCTCGTCTCCGGACCCGGTGTATTCTACGGCGCCGGAACACCCGATGCCCTCTCTCCGATTTGATCGTCCCTCCAGCTCGGCGAACTACGCTCCAGAGATACCCGACCCAGCACCCGCGCTACCGTTTACTGCAGCCCCCGGGCACGGTGGTCCGACACCCCCTCGCTTCGCCAAA